TCCTGCTGAGTATATTTCCACAGTCCGTCCACATTGAGGGCAACCTTCCTCATAAATTTCTCCCTTGCCATATTTTGCAACAAGATCTAAAAAAGTAACAAAKAGACAACAAAGTCACCATAACATAACATTTCAATATTGCTGTAATACAACATAACACACAACAAAACAACTGAATCCTTGATCATTTCAGTGTTATACTAAAGTTTACATAACAAAAATATAATAGTGTTCTAATATTGCACTTACAAGGAATGAGAGCTTCATCACTTATAACTGGACCACAATCTGCAAAAATTTAAAAGTAGGACATAGTTTCAACTTAAAATGCAATTGAAAAGTGTAGGTCATAGTTTCAACTTAAAATGCAATGAAAGAATAGAATGGAAGTAGGCCTCACCATTTTGGGTAGCACTCTCTGAATTGCTGCACTCTAAACATTTCCATTCCAAGCTGTCGTCATTCCAGATGGCCTCTCTATATTGGCCAAGACTGATCCCAGTTCCGCAAGTTCTGTGCTGCCATTGCTGACAATCCTCAAACTCCACTGCTTGCTGCCTAGTGGTGACTGGCAACTTACACTTGATACAGAAGTCCGACATGACGATTTTAATGACTATCAAAAGATTTTCAACAGAATGAATAAGAAGTGTTGTTACGGCCTTTATATAGCTGTGCCTCGGATCAAGATTCTCAAATAAAATAACTTGATTGGTTTATCAAATGACAATAGAAATTGTGAATAAGCAAATTATTGTTCTCTGTGCATGAGAGGTGAGAAAAATAGGAACAATACATGATCGCGTGTATTGTTCGTAAACATAATGCCGCGCATTGAGGTACGCCCTCACAAACAGCAAACAAACAGCAAACAAGCGACGACTTATTAGTGATGCCGTGATTTTAGGRAAACAACTTAAATCTCACTTAATTTCTTAATATATAATTACAAAAAACTTCGATAAGATTAAATAATCATGTTTTTAATAAAGATTTTCTTCAGAAAGCCAAGATTTGTTTCGAGAATCTGACTTGTTGGTTTCACTTCATTGACGAGCAAGTCTTACACTTAATTTGTTGCCGTCACAACAAAGTCGTTCGCGCCTGAAGTTTTCAGTCTTTCGTGGTGTTTTTCCTCTTGATACTTTACAAAAACCTTCGATAAGATTAAATAATCATGTTTTTTATAAAGATTTTCTTTAGAAAGCCAAGATTTGTTTCGAAAATCTCACTTGTTATTTTCACTTCATTGACGAGCAAGTCTTTACACTAATTTGTCGCCGTCACTCCGTCACAACAAAGTCGTTCGCGTCTGAAGTCAATTCTCAGCGCTTTGGCTTTCATCGAGACAACTGGAATGCTATTCTAAAAGTTCCATCATTGCTTTGATGGACTTAAAATTACATAAATTCTATTTCATAAAGATTTTTATGCTAGCCCAAACGTGACAAAACTTCAAGTTGCATTTGTTCATGATCAAGCAGTACTTTTTATACTTCAAGTTGATTTTCATTGCACCAAGACCCTTGTGTTCTATGTCTAGTCATTTGTTTCGCTTGTCTAGTCATTTTTTTTTTTTGATATCAAGCGCAATGTTTAAGTTGACAAGCAGCCATCACAATCAAAAGTCATTTAGGTCTTTGCGATTTGCATACAAAAGGGAACGCTAGAAGCACTCAGGAGAAGATTGATTTCGATCAGCTTGCGAAGGCGGGCGCAGGGCATTTTTGGCTTTATTACAATGTTTTCCAAAACCTAGTTTATATATTTTTTGAAATGTTCATATAGTGTTCTACTTATGTGAAAAAAATCAGACTGAGCAA